CCAATACTTCTCTTTGTTCTTCAACTAGGAGTGCAATGTCTGCAAGTATTTGGAATGCAGAGATATTTCACAATCTGTATTAATATAAGAGCAATGTCTGTAAATAATGTGAACACATAAATATTTCACAATATATACTAATATATAAATGTTGTTTGTGATTTTGCCCTTGAGCAATCCTCACCATTTCTTTTCAATCAAAGATGAAAGAGGCTAAAATTGGGTTGGACGAAGAGACTAAAAATTTGAGCTTGACAACTTTTTTTTAGTAAGTACATGCTATGTTTGTCTATAAGATTAATGTTGCATAGAAGAGTCTATATTGCACTAATCTTAATGCACTAGCTTTTAAGACTATCTTGATACAAATCATTTCTTCTTTTTTTTCTAATTTTTTAGTAAAGGATCTAAAAGCATAAACAAAATCAAGCTAAAGCTTTCGTTAAACTCTTTATTGTCTTAAAATTTTTTTGACATTGTGGCTACCATGCTAGCATGAAAACTTTAATATTTGCAGGTGTAGGTAATACTATATTTTAATATTACATATGAATTGTTTGTACTTTTTTAATATTATTTTAAAACTTCTAAGCTTTCATTAGTATCTCAATGCCCTTAATCTTTTTTAGTAATTTGCTTTAACAGGTAATGTTTGGTTGATGCGTTAACTAGCTATGATCTTAAAGAGATGAAAGAAAAAAGAAAAAAAAAATGAGTAAGGGATAAATGAAAGGGAGGATAAGGTGTAGGAGGATATGTGGGGAGAAGAAGAGAAGAATCTAAGAGACAAGGGGAAGAAAAAGATGGAAGAAGAGTAAGATGTGAAAAAGAACTCACCTGTAGAGAGAAAGGAGGGAGTCGGTCCGTGCACTGAGCTCGGCGGATGCCGTCGGCCAGGACAAGGGGTTCGGGTTCGAACGGGAGCAAGGCTTAGCCCTCTTGGCTGGAGTTCGCGAACAGTAAGGGGAAATCAGGGTGGCTTCGGGCGAGAGCTGGGTTTCCGCCTCTCCTGGAACTCGCGACCACACCGAGAGAAAGGGAAAGTCTGGGTGCGCGAGAGAGAGGAGAAAGAGGGGTCGGGATTCGCCTCTGGCTCGAGAATGAGAGCTCGGGATCGGTCCGCCTGGGAGCTTCTACCGAGAGTGAGAGGGGGAGAGACCGGTCCAGGGAAGTGCAAAATTGAGAGATTTCGAGAGAGAGCGAGGGAGCCGGTCCCAATGCCCTAATCGAAGGCCTACTCCCGACCTTCTAACGTCTCTCTGAAGCTCTCTTTTCTGCTCCGAAAGCTCAATATGGCATTATGCCACCCAGATGCCCCTTCGAGACTCCGACAAATACACTAAAGTAGTGATCACGCGACTGAAGCCTGAAACCATGACATAATTCGAGTTTCGGGGAAATCCTAGCCTTCGAAACTGTTGCCCGTCAGAGTAAATGGATTCAAATCGCCTTGATTTAAAAGTGGGCTAGGCTCAATCGATTTGATCAAATCAAATCAAAGACGATTCGGGTCAAATTGAGCTCGTCGCAGTCAAAATAAATTATTCAAGCTTAATCGAACAGAGTCGAGTCAAATTTGACTCAATTCGAATCGACTCGAGTTCGAACCGGGCTCAACAAGGTCTAATCGAATCAATCGAAAGTGCTAGAGAATATTCGAGCGAAAATTGAGGTCAACAGAATATTCGAACCAAAATTGAGGTCAACATCTATAACATCAGTCAATTCAAAAGAAAAATCATTGTATCTAAAATCACAGTAAAATCATTAAAGAAATCCTCATATCAGTAATATCAATCAAATCAGTCCATAAATCAACGTGTCAATAATATCAGTCGTATAAAATATCAAATCAATATTATTATTCGTGATAGTTGAAATCAAACCAATGCAGTAGAATCGTATCAAAACATACACTTACAATTCCAGTTATTCAATATCACGTGCTCTGTGAATCACATGCAATCCAGTAATCTATATCACGTGTTCAGTGAATCACATGTCACTCGCTTAGAATATCACATGCATAATATCAGTAAAGTGAATCAATAGTAGCAACATATGTATCAATATCAATAACAATCCAGTGACATGAACGATAATGTTATAACAGTGAAATCGTGCAATAACAATAAATTCATATAGTAATGATAAATCCGTATAGTAACAACAAATCCTCAATAAATGCGCCAGTATCAGTAAATCCATTAAATCAATATCGCATTAATAACATCAATCAATCATATCAATAAAATCAATTAGATTATTAAATAAAGAAATCAATTTCGATCAATAATATCAATCGGTATGAAATCACATCAAACAATCAAATCAATACATCATTAAGAATAATTGAAATCAATCAATGCAGTAAAATCGTATTATATATCACATGCTAAATATATCACATTCAATATAGTTAATCTATATCACTTGTTCAGTGAATCACATGTTATCAATCTTACCAGTGTATCACTTGTATCAGTCAGTATTCGATGTATCACGTGATATAAGATCAGTACAATAAATCAGTAGTATCGGTGAATCAGTAGTAGAATTGGTAAACAGTATGCAACATCAATGAAATCGTGGAGTGACAATAAACTCATAAATTCGTCAATAAATCATTCAATATCAATAAATCCATCGATATCAGTAAATTCATACAGAAATCAATAAATCCGTTCAATATCGATAAATCAATTCAATATCGATAAATCCATAAAGTAATCATAAGAACAATACTTTATACATGCATTCTAATATAGTAGTCTTACTTAACAAGTACAATCACTGGTTATTAAGATGTTTTTCAATCTTGTATCAGTATCAATATCTTGTATCCGTTGGCTCAGTAAAAGAGTCGTCATTCTTTGTCCGTCGGCATATTAATCATATCCTTATAACTCTCATCAGTAATGACGTGATCAACAGAGGATAACACCAAACCCTTTTTAAAGGAAAGCTCGTCGGCCCACCATCTTGTACAAGTCAATTAGTCTCCAACCAACGGTTCTACCAGTCTTTATTTGTCTTTCACACAAACAGTAATATCACAGTAATATAGTAGTAATTTCAATCATATAGTCACATTCATCATTATATCATCAATGCCTTATAATTGTAAAACATAATTTATCTCAATTTAGAAAACCCCTTTAAATATCGTACAATAGACAGAAGTCGTTATAAAATGCACAGTTTCAGAAAATTATTAAATTACTAGAAATCGTGTAAAACAATGTTTCAAAACTTTTAGTGTACTATAACACTAATTTTTCAACATTCAGATAATTTTCTATTTAATAAAAACTCCACATAATTCAGAATACTCGGTGAAAAATCACAAATAAATACTCAAAATACTCATAATCACGTTCTCTATAACATATAAAAAGTTACACGGTAAAAGTTTTGTCAATACAAAGTTATGCACATTTTTTGATAACGGAAACACAAAACTAAACAGAAAAATATTAAAACACGAAATCTTCAAAATCAGAAATAGGATTTAGACTCCTTACTGCGGGACGAGCAAATGTTCCAACTGCGTTGATGGACGAAAATCGCTCAGCGGCTTCCAAAACTAAGATTTTCCTTATCTTTCTCTCTTTTCAAAAATATCTCAAACGATCCTTTAATAGAGGAAAAAGATATTTACGTTCGTTCAGACGATGTTTCTCGTTCGTCTCGGGACGATCTCCTCTGTACAAAGATCGTACGAACAATAATGGATTTTCGTCCTTGGACGATGCTCTCTGGGAAAAAAAATTTGTTCAGTTCGTCCCGGACGAACTCATGTTCGTACAGACGAAACTGCAATTTACTCACTTCGTACAAGCAGTTTGTATGGACTAAACATACATATTTTAAAAATTTTCTTCAGTTCGTACAGACAGTTCGTACGTACTAACAACAATTTTTTTTCCAACAATAACATGAAAATTTAAGGGTTTCACATCCGGTCCTCAAGTGGTGGTCCGACGGAGGTGAGGGCCTCATGTGGTGGTCCGGTGGAGGTGAGGACCTCAAGTGGTGATCCGGCAGAACAACGACGTCAGGCGGTGGTCCGACAAAGGTGATGGACTCAGGCGGTGGTCCAGCAAGGATGAGGGTCTCAGGTGGTGGTCCGACGAGGATGAGGGCCTCAGGTGGTGGTCCGGCGAGGATAAGGGTCTCAGGTGGTTGTCCGACTGACTCCGACGATGGTCTAGGAGGAGCTTCTTACTTCTCTTATTCCTTTTCTTATATTCTCTCTTCTTGATTTTGATCCCCTTTCAAGAGAATTGAGAGGTCTATTTATATATTTATGATGTGGCATGGCCTGTAAATATGTGAGAGATCAAGGGTAAAGGGGGAGTGGTCGGATGGACGGCCGATGTTGAATTCCTTGATCATGGATCGTTTGATGGACATTTGAATGTCTTAGTGATGTCGGAATTCGATGATCTTGGGCTCGTTGGATTCGTCTCTTCGAGCCACTCGATTCGACTATAAGCACGTAATGTTTGAAAACCGTTTGTTAATCCAAATTATGGTTCAAATCTTCCAACATATCTTTGGGTCCTTGATTTGGACTCATTTGGGTTCGAATTGAGTCAAATTTGGTGTCGTTGGGTTCGTATTTTTGAGACGTTCAAATTGACTATAAGTTTGATGAAATCGGAGTTCGGATGGTCCCAATTTTAATTTTGAAAGTTTACAACTTGATTTTGGATTGAGATTCATGCCAAATCAAGATAATTTTTTTATGACGTATCAAACCTGTTTAATATTTTTTTATCAGAGTTAATATATTATAAAAACAAAACTTAATTTCTCTTTCGAACTACCTCAGTTGTATGAAAAAGACATAAAAAAAGTATTATCACAGCAAACAAAATGCTGAATGTGCTAATAAATAGATATGTTATTTTATAAGTTGACAATGAATTATTCGGTGGACTATTTATCTGAAGCAATAAAACACTTCAATTGTTATCTCATTTTAATAAATTTACCATTACAATTTCTTCGCACGGTTATCCTTTCCCACTTTTTCTGCCGGCCCCTTCACTTCCTCAGTCGAAGCTGACTTCCATCTGCAGATCTATCCATGGCTTCCTCAGGTGGTAGCCCCGCCCCTAGCCCTAGCTCCAATCCCACTCCAACTCCCCCCTTCGACGTTCAGAAGCTCTTCAAACCTCTAACTCCCTCCTCTAACCCCAGCCCTAATCCTGTCCCCAGGGGTGCAAGTCCCTTCCTCCCACCTCCCTCTTCTTACCCCGCTCCGCTATTACCTTCTACATCGCCAGCGGCGCCTCTCAGCGCCTTCTCCTACCCTCCGTCAACCCCGCCGTTCCAGCATCGACCATTTCTTCACTATCCGCAGGCTCCGTCCCCTATTCCTATCCCCAACCCCAATCCTAACCCTAACGCAGGCGCACGCCTAATGGCACTTCTCGGCACGGCCCAACCTGCCAATCTCGAGTCAGCCATCTCGATGCCATCGCCAACGTCGCCTTCAGAGTTTTCAGCGGCGCCAGGTAACCCTCCGATTCTCCATCCGCCGCCTCCAGCTATGCTGCAGCCGGATCCGGCGAGACTTCCGAGCAGCAAATTACCGCGGGGGCGGCGCCTGGCTGCCGGAGATCGTGCCGTGTACGATGTGGACTCAAGGTTGCCAGGGGAGTCTCAGCCTCCTCAGCTCGAGGTGACTCCTATTACTAAGTATATATCGGATCCTGGCCTTGTTCTGGGGCGGCAGATTGCGCTCAACCGGGTGTACATTTGTTATGGACTCAAGCTTGGAGCTATTCGCGTGCTTAATATCAACACGGCACTTCGATCCTTGCTTCGTGGGCATACCCAGGTTAATTTTCGAAGAAAATTTCTTATTTGTTTGGAAGCTGCTTATTTTTCTGTTTGGTATTGAAGCATGATGGGTGCTTTATTTAGTGGGATTCTGTGTTTAAGCGTGACGCATGAAAGTGGCTTTTTTCATGCAAAAGCATGCATACTTTTTATAAATTGGTTTGGTTTTATGTTATTCAGCTGGAATATTCTCTCTTTTATCAAGTGGGGAGCAGCTCAAGAGTAAATTAAATAATTGAAGCTACTTCCGCTGTGATGGTTTTAGCATAATGTAAATGTTTATTTTCTGCACACACTTTTATGTGGTTGTTGATTTCAGGATTGTTAGTCGCAGAATCCGTATATTTGGGAGGAATTTGAACATTTACAAATTTATGTTAAAGAGGTTTTTATTGCCTGGGCTTTCATTATTATGATAAGAAGTTAACAGTATGCACCCTTAGAGTATTGTTAATTTAAATATATTTTATATAATTTGTTGGACTCTTGAGCTTTATTTCTATTGTAAATGGGCACATGAGAACTCATTTCAGTACTACGAAGATGTGTTAAGAATTTTTTTTTCGTACAATTGGTTATTAAATTTTTTTTTTCTGGTCCTATTTCCATTTTCAAGTTCTTAGGAAATGTTTGTCCAGGTTTCATTGAAACATTAGAACAAAGGATGCTATATGAGTTTATATTAAGTTCGGGGATCATTAAGATGGTTTTATTTTTTTGCTTTCTACATGGTTGTGTGTTCTCATTCTTGCATTCCTATGTCCATGTAACAATTACAGCTAGATGGGGTACAAAATGATAGCTTTGATATATATGGTGGGTGAAATTGCATATTGATTGAAGTGTAACCTATAATGTTGTACAATGTTGCTCTGAGTAAGACTTGACCTGCACTACGGTTGCACCAAAGACAGGTGAAAGCTGATTACTGTTTTCAATAAAGTAAAATGATCTATTTTTGAGTAGAATATGACACTTAGCAAAATTAATTGAGGTGGTCTCATAGACTCATACAGTTGACCACAAATAGTTGTGATAAGGCTAATGATAAAGATGATGATAATGATTGATGAGATTTTGATGGCTGGGTTTTTAGGTAAATCTTAAATGGAAGGGAAAGTTCTAATTTTATTTCTTGGTTAGCATCTAATATGATATCGAATGATAGACCAAAAAATGGATGGAGGTAGGGGTGTCAATTTTTGACACGACCTGAACCCGACCCGAAAAAATTTGGGTTCGGGTCAACCCGAACCCGAAACGGGTCGGGTTCAGGTTGAACAAATCAACCGGTTTAAAAATTGGGTAAGGTTCGGGTTGACCTCGGGTTGACCCAGCAACCCGAAATTGACACGAAAACTCATATTTGACACGAAAACTTGAGATTGACCCATTTTTTACCCGATTTTGACCCAAAAATTAGCAATTTTAGGCCAACTTCGGGTCATTCGTGTCGGTTCGGGTTGACTCGGACCCGAATCGGGTCGGGTTCGGGTCCGGAAACCTGACCCATTTTTAAAAACGGGTCGGGTTCGGGTTGACCCGAACAGTGCCGGGTCAGTTCCGGGTTCAACCTGAACCCGACCCGCTGATCCGAATTGACACCCCTAGATGGAGGCAATGCCCATTAGTCAGCTTTTAACAATATTTGGGATGCCGAGTGCCATTAAAAGCACATCATAATTCAAATTGGTTAAAATAGTTGGATAGGTTGAATGGTAAAGGTGTTTCAATGAAGGAAAAAATGGAAGGCAAGCAAGAAATGAAAGAAAACAATGACTTAGAGATAAACATTAAAACTGGTTTTAATACTTTAGGCTTTCAGCCAGTGCTTGTCGACAATAGTTAATTAGCAATTGGGGCAGGAGAGGCATTGCAAGATTTGAGGTTGTGAACGAGAAAGCTTTCTTAGTTGTAGCGTGGCATCTCTAATAGGTCTGTTTTGTGAACACAAATTTGTCTAACAATTCTTGCTTAATTAGTCAAATAACATATTTGATGTTCTTTCTTTTCACCTATCCTAGTTAATTGGCTAGGTCCATAGGCAAGGTGTCTGTGGTAAATCGAGTGGCATTAATCTACTCTGATTCATATTGCTAATGTTTGTACTTTACTTTGAATCCTTCTTCATTCTGTTTTGAATTGGGAATTATGTTGATATTGTCATGCTCCTTTTGATGCGGACATCCGACAGTGGATGATATTCAAAGGAAGAGTCGAAGATCGACGACTAAGATCATTCAATTTTATTTTAGTTTATTAATTGTATTTTGATTTAATTTTGTATTTTTCTTTTTTTACCCTTTTTTTAAGAGTCTTGTCTTATGTAAGCCCAAGGGGCAAATTTGTCTTTTAGTTTCTTTTGAGGCCTATATATAGAGGCTCATTCTCTTGTATTAGGTATGATGGAATTATAATAAAAATTGTGTTATGCACTTGTGTTTTTTTTGGGAGGACATTAGTGAGATTTCTATGGGAAGGAATCGGAGTTTTCACCAGCTGTAGGATGGGTCCGGGATCGTGGCTTGAAGTTCCTTGGAGAAGGGCAACGTATCACCCGTCAGTCTTCGGAAGAGTGCAAGGCTCGCGGTTTTATCTTTTATCTTTTGTTTCTTTGTTTTTGTTCCTTCTTGTTGTTCCTAGTCGCCATCTTCATCCTCTCCCTACTTCCACCAAACCGGCCTTAGCTCCACCACCACTCACGGCCAAGCCACAAGCCGCCGGCCCTCCCCTTGGTTTCCTCCCATCTCCACTTGCCGTCAAGTCTTTTCTAAATTAGTTTTCATATTTTAGGTAATTATCTCAATGATCAAATTCAAATCCATTTGAATTTGAATAGTTACCTAATTTATAAATCCTATTTTAGAAAACTTACTAATTCATAGCCTATTTAAATTTTGCCTATTTAAATTTTGAATTAAATTGGGATAAAATTTTTCATTCCAAATTTAATTTATTAATGTAGGAAAGCTTTGAATGCCTCATTAAACTCCCTTCTTTATTCCCTTCCTTTTCTTTGAAAATTAATTTGGGAAATATTTCCATTCAATTCCCCCAATCCAAATTTGAAATTTGAATTGTTTCCTTAAATAGGATTCTTTTTTAGGAAACTCCTCCAATCTAATTCAAATTAAAAAATAAATTAGATTGAAATCATTATGGGAATTAATTAATTGAAATTTCAAATCTCCCCCACCCCCATACCAGTTCTACATCATCCTCTCTTCTAAATCTTGTGGAGCAGCAGTTCATGTAATTTTCCCTGTTGTAATGAATTAAGTGTGCTCTATTTCTATGGAAAGTGTCTAAAAAGATGTTTCATGTCTTCTTCTATTAACTATGTAATTCTCTGCAATATTCGTTACCCTTACAATAGGTTTAATTCTGGGTGTATATGGCATTGTGGCACAGGGAAGGGAAACAAGAGAATTTGTGTGTGTGTGTGTCTCTCTCTACACACACACACGTGTGTGTGTGATGGTGCATCTTCTGGAATTCAAATTGCCCAAGAAGAAATAAGTAATGACAGAGATGAAAGTCATGAAACTCAAACCAAATGTTACCGAATTACTTCATAGTACATAGCGATGTATTAAAGTTAACAGGCCGTCAATTGATGAGGGAAATAGGAGTTAACTTAAAAGAAGGCCCTTGTCTGTATTTAGTGCTTATATTTTTTGTGGTTTAAGTTGTTTTTCTTTCTTATTCGAAAACAGCCTTGTTTGCTCAAATTTATGTTGCAGGTTATTCAAATTATCTTATTGACAATTTTTGTGGAGATACCCATTTAACAAAAAATAAGTTTCAGTCCATTGGTAATCAAGTCTTTATTTTGGTTTTCAAACTAATTCACAATTAAGTTCTGCCAAAATATTGCTGTCATGAATTTACAATTATCTTTTCAATACTGAGCACATATTATAACCCTATTAAATACCCTCGATATGAAGAGTTGAAAAACAGAGAGAAGAATTGCTATCTTTTTACTTTATATGTGCTAAAAATCAGTTAACAAGGCTTGCTTAAAGTTGTTGCTAAAATCTTCTGCAAAATTTAAGTTTACTTGATTGTTCTGTTCCAAATTTCAAACAACTATGCATTATATAGAATGGTGTGAGTTCTAATGGTTCTGAAACAAGTCTCAAGCAGATTTGAAAGCTCTGAATTATATAGATTAATGTTGGAAAAACAAGGAAAATGTGTTTCACCACATGATAATCAGAGTACGTTAGATAATGGTATTGAATTATATAGATTAATTTTGTAAACTATAGTATTGTCTTGTTAGAAAGAACACAAAAGTAGACTGACTAATTTAGTGGGATAAAGGCTTGATGATGATGATGTTGTTGTTGTATAGTATTGTTGATGCGAGCGCACTAGATAGAAAATGTCAAACAAGGAGATCGATGGGCAAAACTATAACCAAACTCGATTCAAATAGTAGCAATCATCTTTTAGAACAAAAACCGACAGATAAAAACTAGAAGAGATCAAAAGAAACAAAAGAAATACAAAAAGTCGCTATCCTCAGAACAACCGTCAGAACGGTTTCCTCACATGCATCGAAATGTAGGTTAAGTAAAATATGTGCTTAGGGCTAGCAAACCGATGATCCACCACAGCAAGAAGGTCCAAACGTCCAACCAAACTCCTCCAGCAAATGCTCCCAAATCAGCCAACAAACACCTCCAAAGTTCAAGAAGAAGGATACAAATGGAGTGGAACTTGCGTAGAGAAGAAAGAGGTAAGAAGCCCAGACGAAATAGAGGATAAGAAGAAGTGGACAAAGCTCTCAAGCTTTTCCAAGAAGAAAACCCTCAGGTTTTTAAAGAGACAATGCTCAACAATTTTCAACAACCCTTCCCCTCAAAATACATCTTCAATATATAGGCAAGAGAGGGGAACTCAACAGCCATAGCACCACCAAATAAACCAATTAGATTTAGGGAAATGAAAGGCCAACATCCACAATAACAATTCCCAAATGACACAGCAAAACAGAGAAGAAAACTCACAGAACCAAGCAGAGAACTGCGGAACCGAGCAGCCCAGCATGAAACCAAGCAACCAGCCGCAGAACTGAACAGACAGCCACAGGAACCAAAGGGGCAAAGGCACGGGATTTCACCCAGCACAGGGAAATGAGAAGAAAAAAGGGGAGGAGAAGAGACAAGTCTACTCCAAAATGAATCCAAGATTTAAGAGCATACCTTTTTAGATTAATGAGCTAGGTAGTTCAATAAATCCCCCAATAAATGAACTAAACTTCAGCTCAACATTAATGAGCTAACAACTTAGAAAAAATAAAGCTCAACTCCAATAAACCTCCACCTCCCAACATCATCATAAGCTCAAACCGAGAACCATAAGCCAACCCGAGAACCAGTAGCAGCCCAAAGGATCCACAAAGCTAGCAAACCAAAGGTCTACCAAAGCCCAAGCACAACCTACCATGATCATTGGATGCTTTCCCATCATTGGATAGCTAAAAAAATATAAAACTAAATTAAAAATTAATGTTCAATATTTGATAATGAAAATACATAAATTATGATTGCATCAATTTCCCCCTGGTGGGAGAGTCTCATCTCCGGATGAGAACGCTTCAGTAACTTTCTGAAAAAGATCAGGATGACGTCGTTTTAGCTCTTTAGCGTCCATTCAAGTACAGTCGGTTAGAGGTCGATTCTTCCATTTTGCCAATAATCTCTTATGCACACCATGCCTTATTTTAGAAATTTTGACATCAATAATGTCTTCAATTTGTTCTTCAGTCTTTGCCATAGAAGTGGAGAGTGACAAAGTTTCAATTTCTACAGAATCATCAGAATTTCCTTCGTATAAAGAAAGGTCAGAAACATTAAATATAGGAGAAGTGCCAACAGAAATAGGTAGATCCAACAGATAGGGGCATTTGTGCCTAATTTCTGAAGCACATGAAATGGTCCAAATACCTTTCTGCTTAACTTTCTAAAAGTACCAATAGGAAATCGTTGGCGACGAAAGTAAGCCATAACCAAGTCACCCTCATTGAATATAACCTCTTTTCGATGTTTATCAGCAGTAGATTTGTACTTAGCATTAGCTTTTTGGAGTTTTTCAAGGACTTGCTGTTGAACAGTCTTTATGTGGTCAAAAGTCTCAAAAGCTTCAGCACTACTTTTGTTAGGTAAAGGCAAGCAGTTTCTATCTAAAATATGAGGAATATGTTGTCCATAAATAATTTCAAAAGGAGTTTTACCAGTGAAACGATTAACAGAATTAGGGAAGGTTTCAAGGATGTGTTTCATAGTATTTAAAATACACATCCTTGTGCATGGGGCTCTTACCAGTGCAAGTTTTAGGGAAGGTTTCATGTCATTAGCCCTAGTTTTGCATTCATAGAGGTTGTTTCCATGGTTGAAAGTCATATCTCTGTGTGGCGATGGAGGCAACCTGAACTTTACTTAGGCCCGCCTACCTCTTTGATAGCAAATGTGATGTAGGACTAAATATGTTTTCAATGAACGCGATAAGAACTTGCACGTTTTCAAATAAGAGCAAATAATAATTAAGACTGTTAGCCACTTAAACGATGATAGAAAACAAAGGAGGGGTAGCTACGCTTAGGCCAAATCACATGCTAAGGACTTGAATCATCAAAACAATTTAGAATTTCAAGAAAATGCGAATTAAGTAGTTATTCAATAAAATCCCCTAAGTTAATAACGAAATAAAAAACATAGAAGGTCATAACTCAATCTTACGTTTACTAAGGGAAGGCAGAGGGCGAGGCATGACTCATTGCGATTGAATCACCACCTACAAGGTTAGTGGATTAAGAAGATAAATGAATTGGGGAAGAAATTCACCCTTGTTGATGGCCGAAAATATTTTGCTACTGAACGTTGGCAAGCTGTTCTTCGATTGCTTCGGATAGCTTGAAGATGTTGCGATCCAAATATTCTTCGACGGAGTTGTCGACTTCCGGGTTGACGTCGAAAAATGTTGATCGGAGAATGTCAACGTTCCCTTGCTTGTTGTAAACGAATCCGGAGTCAAGATCGGAATGGGTCATTCATTGATTTTGAAGGGTTGAAATGTTGAAGACGACCGTCAATGCTCCCCTTGAAGGCTCCTCTTGAGAGAAACAAGTTCCTCTCACAGATTGAAGCGGAGATTAGGGAGGGAAGTGGCTGGCCTAGTGGAGGAGGCCTAGGGAAAAGTAAGTTCAGATTTTGGTGGAGTTTAGGGTTGAATTTGAGAGAGAATTTTGGAGGGAGAGGCTGTAATTAATTTCCAAATCAAAGTCACTTGAGTTGAAAAGAAATTCAAAGGAGGTTTGAAAACATGGAGGGGGCGGGTGGAGTAGAGAAGGCTTGAGATTTATTTCCAAACATGAAGGGTGGGATTTTGGAAAGAAATAAAGGAGGTGGGGACTTGGGAATTTCGACCAAGAGAGTAACTTGAGTTTTGGAAACAATTCCATGGAAGAATTGAATGGGGGCCGGCGACATAGGGAGAGAGGGAGTGGTTTATGGAAGCATTTAATGCTTTCTTGATTTAGGAAATTAAATTTGGAAAGAGAGATCTCATCCCAATTTAATTTAAAATTCAAATAGGAAGGGATTTGGAAACTTTCCTAAAATAGGATTTATACTTTAGGTAATAATTTCAAATTCAAATAGATTTGAATTTGCTAATTATTTGAGTTACCTAAAATACGAAGAGCTAATTTAGGAAAGACGTAATGGCAATTGATGAGGGAGGGAAAATCAAAGGGGTGCTCGGCGGTTTGGACTGGGGTTTTGGGTGAGAGGGGCGACAGCTAGGTGGGGGGGAAGGGATTGATCAGGGTGGTGGTGGTGGGATGAAGCTGGGGGGTGTGGAGGGGAAAATATGTGGGGATCTGGCGGTTGGGGCTTGGTGAACCGTGGCTTAGAGGAAGAACAAATGAGGAAGATTAGAAGAAAAAAAAACCTAACCACAAACCCAGACTCTTCCAAGGTTGGCGAGTGATCTGAATCCTCTCCAAGGGGTCTCTCTCCAATTTCTCTCAAGCTCTCAGAAGAACTCAAAGCACGGAAAAATTTTATCATTCATTCATTACCTTCAAAAGATAACATAAGGTGATGTAGTGGATCGGCGGAAGACGACACTTGCAAGAAGGATTTGAGGATTCCCAATCCAGGGAAGAAGAAGCATAAGGGCTATATATAATCTCATACAATGGACAAAAAATAAAAGACGACATTGCCCTTTGGGCTTACACATGACCAACCTTAAGTAAGAGGTAAAAGGGGAAAACAACTAAAGCAAATACAAACATAAATAAATAAAAACAAATACATATAACGACTTAAAAATATATCGGCGTGATCGTGGTCGTAAATCGGCAGCCTTTTCTCTGATAGACTTTCCAAGCTCCGATGTCCCCATCAAAATGTTTTATTAATTGACATTCATTTGTTGATCAAGCAAATTTTGGCATTTTGATAATGTTGTACTTTTAATTACAACTCATGAAGCTTGCTGTCTCCGGGCAAGTTTGAGTGATGTGTTCTTGATATGTTTGAATTTCTTTCTCCTTTGGCCAAAATTTTATAAATTTATTTTTTCTTATAGTTTAGCGTGTTTTGTTACGAATGAAGATGTTCACTGTCTTGTACAGTTTTTCTTTTCTTATGTTTAAGTTTATTTGATATCATAGCAGTTGACATTTTCTTGTTGTTCTTATATTTCACCCAATATCTAATTTAATAAATCTTTTTCAGAAAGTTACTGACATGGCTTTCTTTGCTGAAGATGTACCATTGTTGGCCAGGTTTATTTCCAAATCATGTTTTGTTTTATGCTATTTATGAAGATGTACCAATATGTCTTCATCTTTTATGTTTTTCCTTGCTTTTTTCCTAATCATTACATTGATATTCTTTCTTTTTCAGTGCAAGTATAGATGGTAGAATTTTTGTGTGGAAGATTAATGAGGATTTTGATGATGATAGTAAGCCTCAGATAACAGGAAAAATTGTTTTAGCTCTACAAATTATAGGTGCTGGAGAAGGAGAACCTTATCATCCACGGGTTTGCTGGCACCCTCATAAACAAGTAACTTCTCTTAATTATTTCTTTTGGGAGTTACTGTCCAGTATTCCTTTTTGCATTCTTTGCTGATGCCAAATTTCATTTATATTATTCTGTCACTTTTTGATGACTTTTTTTTTTAGGAAGTCTTAGTTGTTGGAGTTGGGAACTATCTGCTAAAAATTGATACATTAAAGGTTGGGAGAATTGGACAGTTTTCGGCAGAGGAACCTGTTAGATGCCTTATTGATAAATTAATTGATGGAGTGCAACATATTGGTAAACATGATGGAGAAATTACAGATATTTCCATGTCTCAGTGGATGACAACTCGTTTGGCTTCAGCATCGAAGGATGGAAAGGTGTGCATCTTTAAATGCACGACACAGCTAATGGAAGTGTTAATTTTACTATTGTAACTCTTTGTTTCTGGCATTGCTTACAATCTTTATAACATTTTGAACAAATTATGCCATATCTTTGCTATGTTGAATATGTTTGCCGTCCTCTGTTCCTTATGATACTTCAATTTTAATGTTTTGGGATTCTGAGATATTTCATACTTGCCGTTCATATCGCAAATCTCAAACTGTTGCATGCTTGCAATTAATGGTAATGTTAATCCATAAGGATTCTGTGATCGTTTGTTAACAAAGTCAACTGATGATAAAACTTTGATGTATTTTTAAGCTTGAGTGCTTGACATAGAATAAATTCTTCCAAAAAGGTTCAATGTTGGTGCGTTGGATATGTTGCATAAGCACTCCCTTTTTTTTGTAATCATTGCTGAGCTTAATTAGCATTTGCCAAGTTATTGTGATGGAAACAACTAGAAATACTGAATATTTTGGAAATCTTTATATGTTGTTCAGAAAAGCGCAGCCTGCTTGTTGCTGCATTTCTGTATGTTTGTGTCGTAGCGGTACTATATATGTATGGTCAATTCAGTCTCATTTTGTTTGCTTAAAGTTTTAAAAACTCAACATATAGCAATATTGATTTGAGTGTAAATTTGAGTCAAATTTGATGCATGTGCACCTTGTACCTTCTCAAAGGTTCATGATCATGGACAACACTCGCACATGTCCTGCTCTATGAGTATGATGACTTAATTTCACATTAAACAAGATAGGGAAACAATGCCAACTGAAGCCTTATGCTTTTACTTGCATTCGTAGTTTTTGTTATTTATCAATTTTTTTGGTAAAATTTAACTTTCATAATTGTCTATATTCATTAAAACTGAATTTTGGCAGTATACATGCTTTTAACTTGATTTCCTCATGCATAGGAATGCAGTAATTTGAATGGATGATAAACTTTTGATGTTTCAACGTCATCACCAAAAAAACTGGAAAGTGAGATGTTTTCTTTTTTGTTGGAGCTACTTTAAAAACTTAGTTACTTGAGTCTAATATTTCTTCCAGTTATTGATTTTAAGAAACCCCTACCTATGCTTTCATCAAATTAAACCTTGCCATTATATTTCAGTTTGTTCTTTAGTTTTTGGGGATGTGATCATATTTACTTTCATCCTATCTTGCTCAGTATAATTTTTATAAAACATATTACTGATCAGTCCAATGCCTATGGAAATCAATTACGCTTACCGATATTCTGTTCATGAATGCTCCTAAAAAAAGAATTTGCTTAATTTAATTTACCAAAAGTTTCTCTCTCTCTCTCTCTCTCTCTATATATATATATATATATATATATATATATGTTGCTCTACACTGGTTGGTTAGGTTCTACTCAAGGAGCTAGTATAGAGATATGCTAAACCATCAATACGTTCATGCAGCAGCACATATTAAATAAAAGATAAATAAAAGTGGAAATACATTAGCATTGTTTAAGGTTGGGACCGTCATTCTACCGGAATCTTGGCAGGCAGCAGGCTTTTTTGTGCCAATGCAGACCTTTTGTCCATGTATAGGATACCTGAACATGTATTACAGTAAAATCTTGATTCTTACTTTCATGTTACTTAACCCACCCAATTACCAGAGAAAGTTCCATTTATGCAGGCTCAGAATTTTTCCTTGTTACTCAAAGGAGATTCATTTAAAATATCATAAGGTTGCGGCGTGATACAAATTCTCATCTAAATCTAATAAAGAAAGGTCATTTCTAATATTTTTTAACCAAGTCTTTTTAGGTCTACATCTACCTTTCTTATTATAAGTCAAATCTAATACATTTTCCTAACCAGGTCATCGGAAGGTCGGCATTTTATGTAACCAAACTATCTAAGGCGACTCTCTAATTTTATCTTCCACTGGAGCTACTCCAACCTTTTCACGTATATGTTCATTTCATATACTGTCTCTAAGAGTAAAGCCACTCATCCACCTGAGCATCTCATCTCTGCAACACTTAACTTAATAATATGCTTCTCTTTTAATGGTCAACATTCTGCACCATAAAGCATTGCAAGTCTAACCACCATCTTATAGAATTTTCCTTTAAGTTTGAGCGGGACTTTTTTATCACACAATAAGTCCAATACATTCCTCCACTTTAGCCATCCAACTTGAATTCTACTAATAATATCCCCATCTATTTCACCATTACTCTGAACAATAGACCAAAGATACCGAACATGTATTCTTATTAATGATTTGATCAACTAGATCTATTATTACTAAAATTACACTATATATTCAATTTTAGATCTACACAAACTAAAGCCCTTAGACTCTAAGGTTGACCTCCATAATTCAAGTTTACCTTCAACTCCTTCTCTAGTCTTATCAACAAGAAGAATATCATCAACAAAAAGCACACACCAGGGTACAACCTCTTGCAAATGTCTAGTGAGAACATCCATGACTAAAGCAAAAGGAACTCTTCATGGCACTTCTTTTGGCACATTATCATATGCTTTCTCTAAATCAATAAATATCATATATAGATCCTCCTTATTATCTCTATACTTATCCATCAAACCTCTCAATAAATGTATAACTTCTACAGTAGACCTACCTGGTGTGAATCCAAATTGATTTTGAGAAAAATTAGTATCATGCCGCAACCTATATGCTCCGTAACTTTCTCCCATTGTTTTAAAGTATGACACATTAACTTAATTCCTCTATAATTCATGCACTCTTGTGCATCATCTTTATTCTTTAAAATAGAAATCAACATAGTCATTCTCCACTCTTCTAACATCTTTTTAGTCTTCAAAATAATATTAAAAGTTTAATAAGCCATGAAATTTATTCATCTCCTAAGCATTTACATACCTCTATATGAATATCATCTAGTCCAACAACTTTTTCATACTTCATTTGCTTTAAAGCCTCTTAAACTTCAGTTTTACTAATATGTTGATAAAAACAAAAATCTTTATTTTCATTTAGGGTTCTAAGGTTACTAAAGTCAATCACATTCTCATAATCTTCATTGAAAAGTTTAGAAAAATATCTCATCCACCTTTGTTCAATATCCTTTTCTAATAAAATCACTTTTTGATCTTCATCCTTAATATACTTCACTTGAACTAAATCTTTACCACTTTTATCTCTTTGTTTGGCTAGATTATACATATATCTTTCGTTCTCCTTAATATCTTATATATTATTTAAATCTTTAAAAGCTAAAATTTTTGCATCGCATATTGCTTTCTTAGACCTCTTACAAGCCTCTTATATCTTTCCTAATTACCATAATTTTACATTTAAATCAATTTTTATAACATATCTTCTTATTTTTTATCATTTCTTACGCATTTTGATTCTACCGCAAACTATTTTTACTATTAGAAGCTTTTTTCTTTGATACACCAATCATATCTTTTGCAACATGCTTAATATCATTACTTGCTTATTCCCACATAACATTAGCTTCCATATGCACAGACAAAATCTTAAGATCTAGTATCTTACTCTAAAAATATATATATATATATATATATATTTTAGTATATTCTTTAAATGCTCCCATTTAATCTTTTAGAACAACGTTTATATTTATTTTTTTAAAATTTTTGTCCCTTCATCTTAAAGTTCAAAACTAATAAGCGATATTGGGTATACAAACTTTAACTTGGAATAACTTTACAATCTTTGCAATTTAAACAATATATTTTTCTTAAAAAAATTATCAATATGAATTTTAATATATTCATTCGCATAAGTGATGATTTAAATTAGGAAATATTTATTTAATAAAAGAGGGTTGATTTGAATTCAAATTTAGGAGGGAATTGAGAAGATTTTATTTAGGGATAGTGAGCTGATTTAAATTTAGATTTGGAAGGGAATTATGAAGGTTTTATATAGGGAAAGAGAGTTGATTTGAATTTAGATTTGGGAGGGAATTATGAAGGTCTTATTAAGGGAAAGAGGTCTGATTTGAATTCAAATTTGGGAGGGAAATATGGTGTTTTTTTAAAGGGTAATTAGATTGTTTTATTTTCATTATGTGATTGTGTTTGCTATAGGTTTTCTTTGGAATTGTTCCTAGCGGCGCCTAGGGTTTGTGGGAGAGCCGATGTTCCTCTCGAATATTTTAGATCAATTGTATCTTTCATTATTTGTTGAAGAAATGAAAAAAAATCAGTCATAATATTTGTTTTTTGCGTTTTTCTTCTTATCTACTTGCTGTTTTACTTCCAAGACGCATCAAAGTATTACTATTATGTGGTTATTTTCATATAATTTTTATGATTATATTATTGTTGGTATTACAAAAAAATATTATTCTATTTGAGGTCTGTCTGAGTTAGAGGGATACCTTCAATGAAATTTCAAATTGAGGTTTTTTGTTTGTTAATAGAAGTTATAATTATCATCAATCATAGTCAAACTCTGAGTTCTTCTAATACTTCTATTTGGTATGCTATTTCCTTAAAAGATTTTGATCATTAATAAACTGAATAAGCTGTTTCTAGTGAGCATTGCATATTACTAGTTTCTTTATAGGGTGACTGAATGTTAACTTATTTTTATTTATCTGTCAATATGAATCCCATACATATTGCAAAGTGCTATTTGTTTAAGAATTCATCTAGTTTGTATAGAACTTGTTTTTTCATTAACACCATGCTGTTTGTGAATGTTTGTTTACATTTTGCTTTAGGGACTGTTTAGTTGGCTGCAAAATGAAGTGCAAGTAAAAGAATTTCAGATTGCAATATTTTAGTATGATTAGCGGAAAGTTTCTCTGTGCACCTTACCCCAAATCTCTTTTTAGGCTATTTCCTCTGCAAAGCTCATGCAATATAAATGCAGAAAAAAAATGTCTCAATTTACTTCGTAGGATTGGTTTGCACAGCAAAGGCTTTTTTCAACCCAAACATCTCCTAAGAGTATGAGAATGATTTTTGGTGTGGTTGCATAAATGGTTCAATTATCTAAACATTTTCCTGATTTGTTTCGAATGGTTAATTGCTTTTTTATGTTCTCTACTTTTAACAGATAAAAATTTGGGAAGATCGCAAGGTGATGCCCATTGCCACTCTAACTCCACATGACAACCATCCTGTTAGCTCAGTTGCCTTTATGACATCACCTGACCGTCCAGACCACATAGTTCTTGTGACTGCGGTATGAATGCTTGCATTTATTTGATTGATTTCCTTTTTAGGCATGCATTTTTTCACTATTGCCACCATAAATATTACTTACTGGGTGTAGAAATATATTTTTGTCAGTTTTTTTTTTTTTTCTGTTTGAACCTATTGTTGGAATTTGAATTAATTTTAAGATGATTTGGCTTAACTTGGTCAAATGTGACCCAACTAGAAAGTATGCACGGGATTTAATCATGGTTGCTAGGCATTGCAGTTGAAGTTTGGTGGACAATGCATGACCTGTTTTACACTGTGTAGGCAATACGTCTGCAGAGGGCCTAATCTTGGATGTTCATGTTTATGGTATTGTAAAATGCATCTCCTTGCGTTTCTTCCTCATAAGGTAACTTGTCGTTGCTACAATCCTAGGCCTCATCATGACTTTATAGACTTGTAATAATCTGGTTTGAAGTAGCCTCTTGGTTGCATTTGTATGAAACTAGTGTTTTTGATAGGAAACACTTGGATTCGCAAGTGTTTCTATCCCAAACCCGTAAAATTACAGCAGCCAACTGCTGTCCACAGCAGCAAAACAGCATGAATTCGATGAAAACGCAGCAGGAAATAGGGAAAAACAGGAGAAAAGCACAAGATATTACTTGTATTTCAATAGAAATCAAAGAAAATAGAAAAGATACAATTGATCCTCAATTCGAGAGGAGGATCGATCTCTCCCAAATCTCTAGACGCCGCTAGAGCCCAAAGAAAACCTAAATCTAAGAGATCTCAAATTTCAGCCAAATTCAAGATGCCCAAACCCTAGGAAAAACAACTATTTAATGCATACAAATCAAAAGGAAATCCCTAAACAGCCCCTACATTCAAATTTCCCTCTCAAAACGCTAAAAAACGCTTCCTAAAATGCTCTAATGGGCTGGTCGGGCCGCTCGATCTCCGCAGGAGGCGGAGATCTCCGCCTGTTTCGCGATTTTGGCCCGTGAACCGGTCCCGCCTGGACCGGTCTAACAATACTCCCCTCCCAAAGATCCACCTTGTCCGCAAGGTGGAAAGACGACACCCTTCATTCCTTCTTCATCACAAACAGTAAGAACTTGAAGAGTTCGGTCCTTACACCTGTGCCCCGGCGTATACCTCTCGTCACATCTGAAACAAAGCCCTTTTGCCCTCTTCTCCTATAATTCTGTCTCAGTGAGCTTCTTGAAGTTATCCCCACTCCCTCCTCCTATTGGCTTCTCCCTGGTGATCTCATTATTGTTGACTGATGCAGGCCCCTTTTGTGCTAAAAGAGTGGTCGTAGTCTTATAAGAGCCTCCTGAGCTGCTGATCCTAGCTCCCTTCTCCAGGTTATTCTGATTTTCTACCAGCTGTGCCAACTTCATTGCCTCCTCCAAGTCACTAGGCATCAGAACTTTAACTGCCGCTCGGATCTCTGCCTTCAACCCCTTCATGAAATTCCCCTCCAATACGCTATCTGATAATCGCTCCACCCTACTAGCCAGGTGCTCGAACCGATCACGGTAGTCTTCTACTGATCCCTCCTGCACCAGAGCAAAGAACTGCTCATAGAAATCTCCTCCCCGGTCGGTTTGGAAACGTTCTATTATGCAGTTTTTGAATTCCCTCCAGTTCCTGATAGGCTCCCTCCTGTCACGCCACTGATACCATGCCAAAGCCTTTCCTTCCAGACACAATCCTGCCGCCGTCAGCTTCTCATCCTCTGTCAACCCATTGACCGCAAAGTAACGCTCCACCTTGTAGATCCAGCCATGGCCGTCTTCCCCCTCGAAAACGGGCATCTTCAATTTCCTCACCTTGGGATCTCCCCGGTATCCTCCATAGCCTCCCATTCCCCTCAGAGGAAGCGTTCCCCAATTGTCCCGATCGTCCCTCCGACGAATATACTCTAACCCCTCTTCATACTCACCTCTCCTCCCTTCAACATCATCACCTCGACGCTAAATACCTTCAAATTCAGCACCTCGACGATGACGTTCCTCCCTTCTTCCTTCAAAATCCCCCCCTCGACGCTGAATTCTTTCGAATTCAACACCTCGGCGATGCGATCCCTCTCTTCTCCCACCAAAATCAGCCCCCCTTCTGTCATATCCCATGCTCATCTCTTCCCTCGAAAGGGGCTCTAAAGGAGGCATGTCGTTCTCTTCCTCTAGGATCTCCACCTCCACATTTCTCCTCCCCCGCAAGGGGTTCGGATTTCCTCCCATGCCATGGCCGTCGGCGATCTCTCTTACTTCCGATGTCGCCGGATTGGTTTTCATCTCAAGTAGTTTCTTCAACATTTCCTCCATTGCGGTGAACTTCCCCTCCAACCTTTCATTGTTGGAGGTGATTTGATTTTGAAGGTTGAAGAATCTTTCCTCCAAATCGGCTTTCAATTGGCCGACTTCGCCTTCCAAGATGTCAACCTTCTTTCCGGCCATCTTTCTTCCCAATGGATCTCAAAAATATCACTTCCGGAAATGATAAACTTGCTGAAATTTCAGAATTTCAGCCGCCGGTGGTCCCAAATCGACGCTCTGATACCAATTTGATAGGAAACACTTGGATTCCCAAGT